GATGGAGAACGAGAGAGCCAGAAGAAAAGGACAGAGGGAGACAAAAACGCGTGAGAGCCCGTTCTCTCCAGCCTGACAGATTCTGGGGCCCGCAGTAGCAGCTTGGCAAAATCAAGACAGAGATCGGTGTGGAGAGATCATTGACTCTCCTTCGCTTTTCCTGCTGCTCTAGCCCCAAGGCCAAGGCAAGTTTTCCTCCTGCTGGGTCCAAAGACCAAGTCTGAGTGCAGGGACGCTTCAGAACACTGCAGTCTGGGGTCCTAGCTCTGACTCCACGGATCTGCCGGGTTCTGACCCAGCTCACCAGATGGGTGGGTGGGTAGCTAGCTGGGACTGTGGCGCTCAGCAGTACCACCTGGAAATTCTACAAAGCTGGGGACAGCCTGTTGAAGGAGGCCACAGCCCAGGCTGTGCCTCTCAGGAAGGGATGGCAAGCAGGTCCCTGGAGGAGGAGCCCCACCAGGCCAGTGGGCCAGGAGTAGGGCTTGGAGCCATGCCTGTTCATGTTCAATGCACAAAGCAATGCGCCTGGTCGAAGTCAGGGGAGGGACCCGGAGTATGCTGGAGACGGAGGAGTGAAAGGCAACGATATAAACCTATTCCAGCCTATTGTGCAGTCAGGGGCCACTCTGGAAAATCTCTCGCAGATTCCGACTTACCCTGTGAAAGAGGCATCTTTGCACATCTCCACAACTTGATACGTCATGGTCAAGGAGTTCCCAGACCCTTGAAAGCCTTCTCCCTGGACCCTTTAGAATCCTCAGGGACTCCCCTGGGACTCGGGCCTGCCAATTTGGCTGGTTAGACAAGCCGATCCCCTGCGGTGGACAGCTCAGGTTGCTCCCAGCTAGGACCCCAGTGGGGTGGCCAAATGGGGCTGGAAGCTGGATGGGATCCAGGGGAGGCTGCACGTGCCAGGCAAGGTTACAGAAGTCAGCTTGATACTGTGTCTGCATCAAAGGGCCAGGCTGGCTAGGCCTGGAGGGGCTGCAAGGTGGGCTTCGCAACTGGCACTCTGAGGTGTTGGCCATCGGGGCTTGACCTGGCCCTTGTGGACAGCGGGGAATGTTCCTCCAGCGTAATTCTCTCCCGCTTGCAATAAACCAAACAGGATGTGGAATTTGAGCTCTTTCTTTAGAAAAAAAAATCCCCCAAAATTGTGTATGCCTACGGAAGCCCCTCTGTGGCCCGGAACCGCCGCCCAGACTTGCTGAGCAGGGGAGGCAGGGACTCTGCGGGTGCACCGCAGCTCTGACCGCCTGATAGATCAAACCCGCGGCTGCGGGAACTCAACTGAAATGCCGCCTCCTGCCTCGGAGCCCCCAAACCCCGGGCTCCCTAGACTGCGGCACGGAGGTGTCGGCCTGTTCGGTAAAATGTTCCACGTATCCACTGCCTTGGCTTTCGGAGCCCTTGTGAGTCCGGGGCCGAGAGACGAAGAGCAGCGGTTCTGTCGCCGCGCGGGGTTCCCGCCGCCGAATTTCTCCGTCTCCCCCAGGATGCCTTTGGCCCGAAGCCTCGCTCAGGCCCGTGCAGCAGCTGCGCCGCCAGCCCCAGAGCCTCTGTTTTATTTCGGAGTAAATAGCACCCACTTCTACCTGGGTGATGACACCCATGGCCAGCCCGTGGGTTAAGCCCTCCAGCGAGGATTGCGCGGCCATTCACTGATTAGCGGGTTCCTCCTCCTGAGTAGGCCCTTTGGAGGCAGGAGAAATAAACACATTGCCAAAAACAAGTTCTCTCTCTTTTTCTAAATAAGTAGAAATTGAGACAGCGGGTGAAGAGTTTGTATCTGCAAGTCAACCTGTATGCACACAGGGGCTCCGAATCCTCCATCAGGCTGTGGGCTCCGGCTGTGAGTCGCCAAAGAAAAACAAGCATGCCTCCACATAGCTGGTTTTAACAAAAACTCAGGCATTTGTGCATGCCTAGAAAACTGCACACTGGAAAGTTTTCCTGTAAGCAGGGACATTATGTTCCCCTCTGAGGATGTCCACAGAGGCAGGGGTATTTGGTGTGCCTGCTTTGAGCCGATCAGGTGCACAATCTATCCCTCAATAACAAGCTGTAACATTTTTTTCTAAATCCAACCATTGAGTTGGCCTCCCTCTGCCTCCACTGCCAGGGTGGGAGTGTTGGGCCTTTTTACACACCCCTTGAATTGCAATATTCTTAGTTCTGTCCGTGATAGCGCCTGTGGCCTTGAAGCTGGAGGCAGCTCTGGGACTGCAGAAAGCGGTCTGAGGTGTGGGCGCTAATTCCTTCCTGTTCTGCCAGGGTTGGAAACCCACGCTCAACAAAGACTAGTGATTTGGATAAGCAAAATTCACCCACCGACAAATACACCCAGCACCCACTTTCTCTTTAACCCACACTGTATATTTAGGAAGAGAAAAAAAATTTGAAGAAGTGTATAAAAAGATATGGAAATAAACGTTTAAATACGAGAGAAAGGGAATTTTAATCACACACTCAAAATGTGCGTTACGATCGTCTAAAATTAGTTCTGTGACAACACTGATGCAGTGATTACTCAACTGAGTTTATCCTTGGTGCCAGCTTTTTGAAAATGTATGTCTTTATGCTGCACTTTTGCAAAATATGCAAAATCTCATTCTCACATCTAAAAATTTGCTGCAAGATCCCACACCGGGTATTTCTAGCCCCACATTCTAAATATGCAGTTCAAAGACTTCGCCGGCGGCCTTAAACATCCAATGCGACTTCTCGGCCGTTTTGGGGGAAAAAGGGGAGACCTAGAGACCTCACCTAGCAGAAAATCTGCAGACTCCCAGCGTCTGCCTGGGAGTAAGCGAGATGAGGCGACCACGGTCGCCGAGCGCACCATTGTGTGGGGTAGAAACTTTGTTTTCCCCACTCCCGCCATCTCTCTCTCTCTCTCTCTCTCTCTCACACACACACACACACACACACACACCCTATCCCCACCCCTCCCCCCCGCACAGCCAGAACCCTTGGATATTCCTACGGAATCGAAAGCTCGCCATGGGTGCAAAGCCGGCGCACAGAGATAGCCGTCAACTTTTCCACGAAGGCCTTTGCTCTGCGCTGCAGCCAGGAGCGGCTAGGCGCAGGGGCGTGAACGCTGACCGCGTCGCCCAGCAGCCCCAGCCGCGCGCTCCAGCTCCGCTGGGACGGCGGCCGCCTCCCCGCTCCCGTCCCGGCCGGACTCGGGGCCTCTTACCTGGACACGTTTCCGAAATCGCCGGCGAGGGGCCCGGGCTTCTCCGCGCCACGACGCCCGCGACGCCCGGCCGAGGCGCGCCGCTCTGAATTGTACCCCAAGCACGTCTTGAGCGTGAGCCCCCTTTTTTCTGACACTAAGGGGAGCGGGACAAGTCAAATCATGCCCCGCGCAGCTCTTAGTATCAGGAGCGAACAAAGGCCAAGAATCACGCTGGGGTTCCCGGCTCCCCGGCGGCTTTGACATTGATCGGAAGTGCGCCATCTCGTGGCGGCTGAGTGCCTAGGTGCGACCGGAGCTGTAGCCTGGAATCCAGAGAGCAAAGCCGGCCGCCGGCGAGGAGAGGGAGAGAGAGGGAGAGGGAGAGGGAGAGAGGGAGAGGGAGAGAGGGAGAGAAGAGGGAATGTGCCCAGCCTGCTGCTATTGAGATCTCATTTTTACATCTAAGAAATTGCTGCAAAACCCCAGCCGGGTTTATAGCGGCGCATTCCAAATATGCAAATTGGCCGGCCCCAGACGGGTTTACGACCGCATTGTCACAGCCATCGGAGGATGGGCTTTTATAGGGCTCAGAAATCAAACCCGCGCCCGCCCGCCGCCCGCCCGCGAGCAGTCCTCCTGGCTAGACTCTCCAGCAACTTGAGAGACTTCGGTTAATCTTCAACCACCCCGAAGGAAGTCTGTCCCCAAATCCGGGCTTTCCTACCCGCCCTCTCCCTGCCCCCCCACCCTCAGGAGGGCCCTCTTCCTCTCTGTGTGTCCATCAACCAAGACATCCATCTCAGCGCCTGTCCCCTCTCCCCTTTCAGCTCAGTTTCCCCAGTCGCGCCGGTTAGACAAACACACAAACAAACAGCTCAGAGTCTAGGGCCTGGGGCCTCTCTCCAAATGAGACCCTCTCTGGTGCTCTGGCCCTGCCTGGGTGGCGGCAGAGAGGGTGGGGTGGGCAACAAAAGGCTCTGTCCCTTCCGCCCTGCCCCTCAAGGTTATGGGTGATGTCCAAATTTAAGGCAGAAGTTCAAAGGCAGAACACAAAGGGGAATGCAGCGTCCTTCTCTCCCCAAGGGGAAGCTGCCGCCTCAGACGTGGCTGCCCTTGCTGAAGGGATCCACAGGCACCCCCAGAATGCTTCCCGGTGCACAGGTGAGCAGGGCAGCCCAGGGTCAGGCCCACTGGTCACCACAGGCCCCACGGCCTTCTCCAGGGTCGAGGTCAGTTTGAGCAAATTGAGCTCCACTGGCAGCCCCGAGAGAACCCATCCATGGATCCCACTTCCCACAAGGACAAGGGCCAAGTACCTTGGCTTCCTAAACCTGAGTTGCACTGCAGTGAAATCCTGACTCAGCCACCTTCTGGCCCCCTTGGGAGCTTGGTCACCTGCCCTTTCCTAGTCAGTGGATGATGGGGGGGGGGCAGACATTTGGCAGCAACGGACCAGCAGGGAGAGGAATGTCACACCAGCAACTGATGACACTCACGTTTCCAGTCTCCACCGTCTTTATTTTCCTTGTACCATATCGCCTGTGTGCACGCTGTGACATACACGGTGGGTCAGAACTGGGCACCAGCTGACACTCCCACTCCCAACAGAGCCAGCGGACATTTCTTAGCATAGGGGGGCAGAGGGCATTCAGTGAGAGGGTGCTGGCTTTCCCAGATGAAGTCCCAAACCGCCTCCACGCATCCCCCTTAACGCTTTCCAAATGCCGCAAGAGATGAAAAAGACCCTCCTGGACCCCTTCCTGCCCCAAAGGAAATCAAGGAATGAATGACAAAAGAAAACAGCCAACCCAAATAGGCTATGGTTCCTTTATTTACAAGTCTTTTGAACACCATCCCTGTATGAAGCGTACATTCAAATATTCTTAGCAGTGAGCGAGTTTAATCGTGGAACACTGTAAACAGATAGAGCCTTTAAATATTCTCATCATCTTTTCCCCCCCTCTCTACATTGCATCTTTTAAAATTCGCTTTGGTTCCTTCAGGGAAATATATATATAATATAATATTTATCTTTTAAAATAATTCCAAATCACTCTCAGGCTCTTCGAAGGTGGTCGGAAGATTCCGAACTCAGTTCTGGAGCCAGTGAGGGCCGAGCACGGCACCGGAACTGGATGTTTGGAGGGACCCAAGTGCCTCATAGCCATGGCCTAGGACCTGCTGGCCAGGCCTGCTGCTCTCCTGCCGGACACCAAGAAAATCCAAGCTTCGCTAAGTGTGGTACAGGCTTTGCCGAACGGCCGCAGCCTGCAGAGCTCGCGACCAGGGCCAGCAGCCTAGGCATAGCCTCTGGCAGCAGCCTGCTCTGCAACCAAGCGCTGGGCCTGGGATGCAGGCTGGGACCAAGACCCTGCTTGGTAGGAAGCAAAGCCAAGTGGACTGCTGGAGGCGGCCACTCGCAGCTCAGGCCCAGGACAGTGCGGTGGGCAGCTGGGTTGGGGGCAGGAGGCAGAGAGGCCACCTGGAATGGGAGATCCTTTGCACTCAGGAATCTGTAGCCCTCTCCCTCCTCACAGCCACCTCTTGGTCCAGCTGCCTTTCACATTGGCTTTGGAAACAGCCCCATTCCCGGTCTCTAGGAATCCTCCCCCTTCCTCCCACCCCTGTCCCCACACTGAACCGGAGTAGCAGAGAGAGCACATAGCCTTTTGATGCAGGGGTCCTGGGGGTGGGCAGCTCCTGTGTGGAGGGTCCTGGGGGAGGGGGCCGGCCTCCAGGGGGCCTGGCAGGGGGCCCAGTCCTCACTGGAGACCACACCCAGCCCAATGCTCCACAGGCTCCAAGACTGAACCACCACGGGTCCCCAAACCGCTCATTCTCCATGATGCACAACTCAGAATTCGATTCTTCTCAGGAATCTTAATCCACCAAGAACCTAACGGAGACAGTCCCAGGCCCCTCCTGCTGGGCTATTCTCTGGGTAGCCTCCCCGCTCTTGAACACCTTTTTTTTTTTTTTCTTCAACAGTCACCACGTGGCTTGACCTAGTCAAGGGCAAAATCTTGCATTTTATCTCCTGTGTCTGCATCCCCCCACCCAATTCCAGCCTGCGGGAGCCTTAGAGGAGCGGGTTGGCTGAATAGTACTGTAAACGGTCTCTGTTAATTTTTTTTTCCTTCATTCTTCTGTTCTGAAACCAGATTTTGACCTGGCGGTCGGTGAGGTTGAGCATGCGGGACAGCTGCAGGCGTTTTTCTTTGTTGATGTAGACGCTGAAGAAGAACTCCCGCTCCAGCTCCCGGATCTGGTACTTGGTGTAGGGGCAGCGTTTCTTGCGGGTGCGTTGGCCACCTAGGAAGGAGAAAAGCAGGCGGGTGAGCCAGGCAAGCCAGGCCTTGGGGGCGGCACCCCAAGGCATGGACTGAGGGCTCAGCCCAAGCCCCCTCCAGGTCTTCCCAGGCCCCTGCCCTGCGACTCCTGCTGCAGATTGGGGCAAGTTGTAGTCCCAGGCTGTGCCCCAGATAAAAGCCAGCTCCCACAGAGGCCCCAGGGGAAGCTGCTCCCGCTGGCCCCAGAGCAGCAAAGAGGGCTCCTCGCAAAGCTGCAGCCGGCTTTGAGAGCCGCCGAGTGGGGGTTGCGGCTCCCACCCCGCCAGACTAAACAAACAGTCGCCCGCGGACATTTCACCTTCCAGCACCTGGGCCGCCCGCTCCGCAGGCAGTAAAGCCGGCCCCAGCCCCAGTATTTGCCTGTTGCGGCCGTGACTGGGCCCTCGGTAACATCTGGGGAGGCCGGCGGGTCTTTGTGGAGCCTGAATCCTGGCCACTGGCTCGGCGGCCGGCCTGTGGGCTCCCCGGGGGCGGGTGGTGACAGCGGGGGCCCCCACGCCGGGCCTCTGCTGAGCACCGCGAGGGTCCCCTGGCCCGAATGCAGGGCAGGGAGGGGGGTGTGCTACTTTGGATGGGATGGAGGGAAGAGGGCGAGCAGGCTTCACTATCCCCTCTTAAAAGAAAAGGAAGAAGAAGAAAAAAAAAAACCAACAGCCTACAAGACCAAAAAATTCTGCTTTTGACAGATTGGATAACAATTGCTAAGTAACATGCAGCAAGACAGAAGGCAGCACGTAATTGCCACAGCGCCAGCGGAAAATGGCTTCCTTTGGACAAAAAGGCCAACTTTGGGTTAATTTGTTTCGTTTAATATATTGCTGCCGCGGAGAGGGCTGCTCTCTCTGGGCAGTGAGCTCCCAGCGCCGCCGCCCGACAGCGCAGCCTTTGAGTCGCGGGCCGGGGCTACAGTTTCCGCGCCACACATGGCTTTTATAAAAACCTCCGGATTACCTGGCTCTCCACGGCCCCCGCTCCGCGGCGGGCCAGGGGGAGTTCGCGGGCGCCCACGGCCGGCTCCACAGCCTGCAGCCGGCCCCGGGCGGCGCGCAGCTGCCGGGCTTCGGGAGCTGGGAAAGGAAAAAAAGGGGGAAAGGGAGTTGTTGGTTTTTTTTTTTTTTTTTTTTTTTTCGGGAGTTGTTGGGTTTTGGCCCGGTGGGGTATTTCCAATTTCAGCACTCGCCACGGCCGGTGGGTATTTCACGGCCAATTTCAGCACTCGCCACGTGATCCCGCCTTTTATAACAAAGTTTTGTTGGGGGGAAACCTAAAGGCCCTTCATAAACCTTATATGCTTATAAAACAGCATATAAAAATTTAACAGCGGCGCTGCGCTAGATTTCCAACTCCCCTTTCGCAAAGCGCAGGGCGCTGCCTGTATACATACTGGAGCCGCCGGCCTTGTCCTCAGTGTGGCCGGAAGACGACTCCGGGCTGCTGCTGCTCTCCGGGCGCCGCCGCCGCTCCTTCTCCGCCGCCGCCTCCCGGCAGCCGCCGCCGCCGCTCTCCGAACTTGAAGTTGCTGGCGCGCCCGTGGCCGCCGTCACCGCCGCCGCCGCCGCGGAGGTCGTCGTGGCCGCCGGGGGCCCCTTCTCGGCACTCTTGTCCCCGGGGTAGTCGGAGGAGGCGAGGCTTTCCGGGGTGCCGTAGGCAGTCTCAAAAAACTGGTCGAACGCCTGCGGCAGCACGCCGTTCCTGCCCACCGTGCTATAGAAATTGGAGGAGACGGCGGGGGTGGGGTGGTGGTAGACGTTGGCCGAGCTCTTAGCCAGCACGTCGCCGGGCACGCCGGCCGCGCTGGGCGCCTGCAGGCAGTCTCTGTGCACGAGCTCCTCCGCGGAGTAGCAGTGGGCCAGATTGCCGCGGGGGTGCCACTTAGTGGCCGGCTCAATGGCGTACTCCCGGAAGGTCACTTCGCGCACGGGTTGGACCTGGGGCAGGTTGGAGGAGTAGGAGTATGTCATTGGGCGCGAAGACGGGGTCTGGGGCAGGAAAGAAGGGAGGCTGGAGAAGTCTGGACCCGAGACGTAGTAAGTACAACTTGGCAAGTACATGTTAGAGGAGCAGGGACCACGCTCATCAAAATCCATCATTGGCTACCTTGGGCGCTCCGCAGTAGCCGAGCTTAACATGATTCTCCACTGCAGCTGCCTCTTTGAAGCGGATCCGTGAAGTAGAAATTTGGAGACGTAGGCTGACGTGGAAATCTATCCCCATCCTTAGCAGGGAGGTGCTGGTCATGTGACCCGATGTTGAAATTGACAAGCTGCGAGCTAGTCCCGGCCTTTTTTTTTTTTTTTTCTCCCTCCCTCTCCCCCTTTCCTTTTTTTTTTTTTTTTTTTCCCTCTTTCCCTCCCCTCCCTGCCCGGCTTCCTTTCTTTGTAGCCACCTCAGGGGAAGCAACAGATCGTCACTCGGCGTTCTCACCGAAAGCACGTAATCGCCGGTGTAACTCATGTTGGCTGGGGGGCCTCCCGGCGCGCGGCGAGGCCGCGGTGCGCCCCGTGCAGGTCGCGGCGCTCAGCGGCACGGCCCGAGCCTCCAGGGCGCCAAGGGCGGTGGGAGCGCGACTCGCGCCCCCCCCCCGCCCCGCCCCGGCCCCCACCCCCATCGTCCGGGAGGACGGGGCACGTCCGGGGCTGGCGTTGGGGTGGCCAGGTGGAAGCCCGGTGGTCTCGCCGTCTGCTCTCCGCGAGGTTCGCGTCCGCAACCCCCTCTCGCACTAGCTTGCTTAGGGGAGCGCCTCTGTCGCCGACCCCGTTCGGGGCCAGGGTTCGCCGTGGATGTGCCCGCCTCGTGGCTTGTCCGATTTGCACGGTGACTTGATTACACGCTCGCATTCATGGTCACTTCCGAAGCGCTTTAGTGCCTTCCGTCCCTAAACCGCCGACAGCCGGGCGGCTTCCCCTCGTGGCTTGTCGATGATCCGCAGGGTCCGGAAGGGCCTTCGTCTCACCCGGGATCCACCTCTCCCTTCATCCGCCCTGCCTGCCTCCCCCACCCCACCCCTTGCCCTTGGAGAGACCCCCCCTCTTCTCCTCGCCGCCGGCCGGGGGGTCGCAGTGGCTGGGCAGAGCCCCAGGCGCGGGGCTGCGCCGCCGCTCCCCGGTCCGCACGCCTGTCTGGTCTTCTGCGGCGGAGGCGTCGGACACCGCGCAGTTGAGGCGCGCCGGGGGCCGCTTTAGAGGCGCTGACATCCGAGGAGACTTCTCCTGGGTATGCTGCACCTTTGGGGTGGGTGGGGGTCCGCCAGGTTGCTCCAGGGCTGTGGGGGAGAAAGGGGGCGGCAAGGCGGGGTTGGGGGGGGTTGCTGATGAGCAAGGAGCCCTGGCTGAGAGAGGGATAAACCCGCCTCCTCTTCTTCCTTGCAAAGCTTGAGAGTGAAAGACAGAGGTGTACAAGGTAGAAAGTCAGACTTGGAGCCTCGCCTTTCCTGCCACTCACTCCCTGGAAGGGACACGAAGCCAGAGAGAGAGAGAGATTGAAAGACAGAGAGAGAGAGACGCCCCCAGTTTGACATACCTTAGGTGACAAGGTGCCTAGGGAAGATTTGAGCTAAAGATGCAACCAGCTTTCTCAGAAAGAGGAGAGAAAGGAAAAATGAAAACAGCAAAGTAATGCTCGCTCTCTACAGGGTTGAAGGAGACAAATCTGGAGGAAGCAAGGGGAGGGAGAAAGTGCAGGGCAGCCAGGCAGGGCCAGCAGCTGGGGGGCAGGGGGTCCCTGAAGGAAAGTCACAACGTGATCAAGGGTAACCTTTTCCCTTTCCCCTCGCAGGAAATAGCCCAAGGTATTTACATATCTTGGGGAGATTTAGAGTATAAACTCTAAGATCTTGGGTATTTAAGTGTCAGCATCGATTTATTTATTTATTGCTGAGCTGACTGTAACTGACTCAATAACAAATCTGATCTTGTATTATACTGGAAATATTCTTATGTATTCTCTCCAAATAATGGCTCACTATTGCATTTGAATGCCCACTATAAATATCAATAATATCGAATAATGACTCTGTAGTGAACTAATTTATTAGCATGAATGTTTATGTGGTCCTCCCTGCTCTCCATCCCCTCCTCTCTTACAGGGGGTGCTTTTCAAAAACCAAGCCGCTCACACACATTGGGTTAATGAACTCCTTTATTCGGGATATGTTTCAAGAACTTTATTTGAGGGCCCTCGAATCCCTTAGAGCGGAACTTGAAATTATTTGTGCTTCTTCATCCGGACCTATTTGTCTAGCCTGGCTTGGAAGAGAGAGGGTCTGAGCAGTGGGAGGGAAGGTTGCTGGGGAGGGGTGGCTTAAGACCTCCTAAAGCTGGGAATCATAATTACAAGATCGCCCTGCAGTGGGGGGGGGGGGGGACTTGTATTTCCAGCAGCGACCAAGGAGGCAGAATGTTGCACAGAATCTCTGTCTTGGAGAGAAATAATTCAAAAGGGGGAAAAGAGGTTGCAACCAGCAGTGTTGGCGCTGTCCCCTGGCTTGATTTGGGCTACCCCAAGCTCAATCTCAGCAGCCCACCCAGTCCTTGCCACCCCTACCCTCGAACAAAAGGAATGCATGAGGGGTTTCAGTGAGTTTGCCATAACAAAGGCGCCACCATTGCAGGGCTCGCCCCGCCCCTGGGTGAAGGCAAACAAATTCTTGCACTTGTATTAGGGCTTTTAAGACCGTAATTGAGCCCGGGGGGCGTCTAGGAGAACCGAAAACAGTTCTAGACAGACCTGCGGTTTTATAGCAGTTTTGGCAGTCAACTTCAGCTTGTGCCTGAGCAGACTGGCCGCGGTAGCCTGCCCCGGCTGAGTGCAGCCCCTCTTCTAATTAGGTCCGGTGCGCCAGAAAGAGGGGGTCCCCGCCGAAAGGTCGGTAAGGGGGTGCACGCCGCTCCGCATCGCATCGGCTCCCCACGGCCCCTTCAAGGAGCAAGCCGCAGAGTGCTGTTTGGTCGGTTTCCCATGGGTATGCGCGGAAGACAAGGCCAATTCCCGAGGCAACGCGGGAGCGGAGGAAGGCGCTTGGGGAGCGGCTGGCAGGGCGATTCCGTAGGCTGTTCCCGAGCGGGGTGCCCGCAGGGACTTGCAGCCTGGAACGGGGCGTGTGGGGGCGCTGCCGTGAAGAAGGACCAGCAAAGAGGCTTTTGAAGCCAGCAGAAGGCCTGATGCAGGGACCAAAGGAGGGGGTGCTCGGATCCCCAGTCCTCTGCGCCACTCGGCGGACAGTACATTGGCCGTGTGAGAATGTACCCCAGGCAGGCAGCCGGGGTTAGGGGGTGCGCGCAGCCCTGAGGATCCGACCAAATCTAGGGGACGAAGGGAAGCCGGAGCTGCCGGTCCCCGGTTTTGACACTGCTTTGAGCCTAATTGATTCTTTGGCTTTGCAGGAGGCTCAAGAAGCCAATCTGAGCACCCAGGGCCCTGGGAAAGACCCGGCTGGGGGCTGAGGCCGCCCCGGAAGGCCAAGTCCGAGTTGCAGTTCTTGCAGAGGCCGCGGCAGGCGAGGCTGTGACATTGGCCCTGGAGACTGATTTCCCATGAGCTGCTCTTTCTCAGGAGTTGCACGACGCAGGGCCATCTCCAGAAAACAGTCTGCGGCGTCTATTTCCTTTCATCGTCCACCCGGAGCCCCACGGCGGGTAATGCAAGAGGCCAAAAATGTTTGGAGGAAGAAAAACAAAGGCAGGAAGTGGCGGCGGCCTGACGGTGCGTGTGTGTCTCTGCAGAAGGGAGGAGGGATCCGGGCCCAATCTCCTTGTTTTTCCAAACTTCAAGGTCCAGGCAGCCCTCGGCGGGGCCGGGCCCGGTCGCTCCCCGCGCAGCGCTTGGAGGTGGCCACCGGGAGAGGAGAAGGCCGGCATTCGCGCCAGCCTTGTCAGGCGGAAACGGCTAACAAGGAGATTTGGTCAGCAAAACAGACCAAACCTGGGCGAGACTCGGTCTGATTTGGCCCTAAGGGTTGGACACGGCGGCGAGGGGGAGGGTTGTGCAGCGCCTCTCGGACCATCCTCCGCCGGCTGAGTACGCCCCGGCGAGGACTCTGATCCATGCGCCCGGCATTCCAGGCAGAATCCCGGAATAAAGTGTGTCCAGGCGCGTCTGCCGCCTCCTCCGTTTCTTCTTGCAACCGGAGGGGTCCCAGCAGCGGTGGGCTCGCAGGCGGGCGAAGTCCGGAAAGAGTGGGCTCGGAGCAGTTAGGGCGCACTCCAGGCAAGGTTCACCCCCGGTCTCCACAATTGTGCCGGGGGCGTTTCCAGCACAGTCCTTCGAAGGAGGTGCGCAGCGAGGTACATCACTTGATGGGCAGCTTAACATCTTCTGGCTCCCTGGACGGACCAAGCTGCGGCTCGTGGGGGAGCATGCCCAGCCTCAACCACCTCAACTAGCGAGGCTGCTAGGCCACCCTCCCCTCTCCTTGCGTTAGGAGGCAGCAGCTGCTCCTTGTCCCTGGAATCTGAGAATCCAGAGTCCCCTGTGCCTGCACTTGGAGCCCCCTGAATGCCCAGAGTGAGGTCCATAGTGTGAATGTCAATGCCAGCGCTGTTCCCACTGGCCACTCCTCCTCACACCAGGCCTGTCCGCCTGCGGCTCCTCTCTCAACCTGCCTCTGTGCTGCAAGACTTCCATGCTGGGGCCTCTTGCCACCTATGATGTCTCCTAGGCACCCAGTACTGGGGGTGGGGGGTGTGTGGCTGTTAGAGTCTTGACTGTCCCTTGCGTCTGGCCTCCCTCAGAGACCTGGACCAGGTCTCCCACTTCCTTCTTTGGACTACGCTACCCCACACTGTACCCTGTCTGTCTGTTCTCCCTCCCTCAACTACATGTCCTCCTCTTCCTGACCCATCTCCCGCTTTTCTGGCTGGGTGATCCCTGGTGGTAACTAGCCTGGGCGGGGGTGGGGGTGGAGTTGTTGCCCACTAGACCAAATCTAAGCCCACAAAGCTTCTAGTTGTTTCTCCGTGGCTTGCTCGAGCACCATCAGTGTTCTGCCTCTTATTTTCCTATTATCAAATGTGGCACTCTTTCGAGAAAGCGAAACACAAGACTATTTCAGCCCTAGGGACCATACTGTATACAGGTGCAGCAGGCAGCTGGAAGCCCTAGGGGGAAAACAGCTACAGAGTCCTTCCAGGAGGTTGGAGTCCAGGCCACCATTAAGGGAATGTCTCCTTCCATGTGGAGGTGTCCTGTGGGTGCATCTGACTGCTTTGGTGAGCTGGGGACATGGGTTGCCTGAGACAGCCCAGTGTCTGTTCTTGGGGCATGGTTGATCACGATCAAGCCATCACATTTCCAGACCCTGCCCAAATGCT